CCTCCTCCGTCCGTCCTCCCTCCCAGGTGCAGGCAGCTCCTCGCCTTTCCTCCTCTGTCCTCTCTCCCAGGTGCAGGCAGCCCCTCGCCTTCCCTCCTCTGTCCGCCCTCCCAGGTGCAGGCAGCTCCTCACCTTTCGTCCTCCATCCACCCTCCCTGTGCCACAGGCTGCTGCAGATGCTTTGGCCAACTGCCCTTTCTTTACATGGTTTGGGTCTGGGAGAAGGTAGAAGGTGCATCCCGAAGCTCTGTTGGCAGAGCCTGCACGTGGAGGAAGCCCACACTCTGACCTCGTGTTGACAGGAGCACCTGCAGAGAGTGCTGGGCAGCCCCGGGAAGACGGTGCCGGGGTCCTCACACCGTAGAGAACCTGTGCTTTCCAGAGGAGCCGGGAGCAGACTCAGCAACTTGCCTTCTGCCCTCCTCTCCACCCTCTGGGGCTGGCTGAAACGGGTGTCCTTCGAGCACATGGGGGCTTCCTCTTAGAAGTCCCTGCGTTCATTCTTTTCAGGTCCCTCCCAAGCCACCAGCCCCATCCGGTCCCCTCGGGAATCAGCTCTTCTGTTCACTCCGGTCCACAGCCCCAAAACAGAGGTAAGGGTTTGGGGCTCGCTGTGGGGTGCAGAGAACTGATGGGACCCCAGAGATACACATTAACGTCCTTGTTTCGGGGCCTATGGTGTGAACCCCATCACGGCTGGGGCTAACGTAGCCTGCTGGCCTCCTCATTCTGAGGAGGATGGAAAACTATCGTCCTCTTACGCTAAGTAGAGCTGTTGATGACAGGAGTGGCCTTGGGGTTCCAGCTCTGGACTCAGGGATGAGGCTGTCTGGATGGCCCCTACTAACTCTGCCCCACTCTGATCCCAAACCTGGGCTGTCTGTCCTGTGTCACTGTACTAGGTCTACATGCCACATATCATATGTTCAATTTAAACATAAGTTTATTAAAAATAAATATGTATTAATAAATGTATAATAGATTTATTAAAATTTGTTGTAATATAAATCGTAAATTTATATTAAAACAAATTTATTAATATATAATAAATTTATTAAAATTAGTATGATTATAATTTATAATATAAAATAATATGAATAATAAACATTGTTTTATTAATTTTATTAAAAATAAATTTATGTTTAAATTAAAGCAATAATATTGATGGGATCACTGGTTTGATATGACAAATGCTTTTTTAACATTATGTTAAAATGAATGTCTGGCCATTGAAATGCGCAGTGTCCAGCAGAGCCTGTGGTGCGTGAACCACGCGGAGAAGGCTGCGAGGCCGACTAGGACAGAGGTCCTGCGGGGCATGGTTTGGGAAATACGGTCCAGAGGCCACAGCAGAGAGAAAACTGGAGTTCCAGGCCTGCATCGGCTTGATTTGGCCTTTGGGATTCTAGGGAGCATGGAGCTATTCAGCGATTTTTTTTCCCCCTGAGGCAGTGTCTCACTCTGTTGCCCAGGCTGGCATGGGCAGCAGTTCAGTGGCATGATCACAGCTCACTGCAGCCTCCAGCTCCTGGGCTCAGTCGATCCTCCTGCCTCAGCCTCCCAGAGTGCTGGGATGACAGCCATGAGCCACTGCACTGACCTGTTCGCTGATGTTACCTGTGAAACGGGAGGCTTTGTTTGAGACACTTGGATGGGGTGATAGAAGGGCTGCTGCAGGCATCGTTGCACATCTTTGCGCTTCCCGGGGAGGAATGCTTTGACCGTAATGCGCTGTGATAGTAGCGGTTGTAAGTCTTCTTACAGCCCTGGCCCCGCTGTGTGCGTCAGAGATCTTGGTGCTCTCGGGCCTCCTGGAGGGTGAGAACTGCAGTCATCCGTGTCCTTTTGGCCAGTGTTCCTGAGTGGACAAAGTTTATAGGATGTATTTGAGATGAACCAAACCCTGGAAACCCAGTTTGTCTAAACTGAGCAGAGTGGTTCTAAACCTTGAACAGCTGGAGCAGAAAGTGAGAAGGGTTCTCCTGAGCTGTTCTAATAACATCTGGGAGGACGGGGGGAGTTCAGGCAGCAGGCACGTTGAGCGAGAAGGCTCCCCGAGGATGCTGCTGGCCGTGGAAGCCCTCACCTTCTCAGCGGCTTCTGTCTTCCCTCTCTGCAGGGGCCCCGACTCCCACTTGTTCCTGCCGCCACCCAGGAGAAACCACCCGAGAAGCACTTTTTCCCTGAGCCTTTGCTTCCCAAAGAGAAGTCCAAAGCTGACGCCCCCTCAGATCCGAGAGCTGTGCACTCTCCCATCCGATCACAGCCAGTGGCCCTGCCGGAAGCCAGGACTCCTGCCTCACCAGGGAGCCCACAGCCCCGGCCACCCCTGGCGGCCTCCACACCCCCACCCAGCCCACTCCCCATCTGCTCCCAGCCCCAGCCTTCCACCGAGGTCACCGTCCCGTCCCCTACCCAGTCCCCCATTCGCTTCCAGCCTGTCCCAGCCAAAGCATCCACCCCACTGGCCCCTCTCCCTGTCCAAAGCCAAGGTGACCCTGAGGACAGACTGGGCAGCCCCCCTGCTGTGGACGAGGCCCTCAGACGGAGCGACCTGGTGGAGGAGTTCTGGATGAAGAGCGCGGAGATCCGCCGCAGCCTGGGGCTCACACCTGTGGACCGCAGCAAGGGGCCCCAACCCAGCTTCCCCACGCCTGCCTTCAGGCCAGTGTCCCTCAAGTCCTATTCCGTTGAAAAGTCCCCCCAGGATGAGGGACTCCACCTCCTCAAGCCTCTGCCTGTCCCCAAAAGAACGGGCCTGCCAACGCTAGAGGGTGAACTCTTGTCCCTGCCACCACCCCGGTCCCCGTCCGACAGGGAGCTACGCAGTGCGCAGGAGGAGCGCAGGGAGCTGTCCAGCAGCTCTGGCCTGGGCCTGCAGGGGAGCTCCTCCAACATGAAGACGCTGGGCAGCCAGAGCTTCAACACCTCAGACTCCGCCATGCTCACGCCCCCCTCCAGCCCGCCCCCGCCCCCACCCCCGGGTGAGGAACCCGCCACCCTGCGGAGGAAGCTCAGGGAGGCCGAACCCAACGCCTCGGTGGTCCCACAGCCCTCACCTGCCACATGGATGAGGCCCCCCCGGGAGCCTGCCCAGCCCCACAGAGAGGAAGTGCGGAAATCTTTCGTGGAGAGCGTGGAGGAGATCCCCTTTGCTGATGACGTGGAAGACACCTACGACGACAAGACTGAGGACTCGAGCCTACAGGAGAAGTTCTTCACGCCCCCCTCCTGCTGGCTGCACCCTGAGAAGCCTCCCCACCCATCCATGGCCAAGGAGAACGGGAGGCTGCCTGCTCTGGAGGGGGCGCTGCAGCCACAGAAGAGGGGGCTGCCCTTGGTCTCCGCTGAAGCCAAGGAGCTGGCGGAGGAGCGCATGCGAGCCAGGGAGAAGTCCGTGAAGAGCCAGGCGCTGAGGGACGCCATGGCCAGGCAGCTGAGCAGGATGCAGCAGATGGAGCTGGCCACAGGCACCCCCAGGCCGCGCAAGGTGTCATCGGCACCCTCCCAGGGCAAGGAGCGCCGGCCCGACTCCCCCACCCGCCCCACTCTCAGGGGCTCTGAGGAGCCCACCCTGAAGCATGAAGCCACCAGCGAGGAGGTCCTCTCCGCACCATCGGACTCGGGGGGCGCAGATGGCTCTTTCACTTCGTCCGAGGGCTCCAGTGGGAAGAGCAAGAAGAGGTCATCACTCTTCTCCCCCCGCAGAAATAAGAAGGAGAAGAAGTCCAAAGGCGAGGCCCGGCCCCCGGAAAAGCCCAGCCCCAGCCTCCCAGAGGAGGCCGCCACCAAACCCAAGTCCCTGTGGAAGTCGGTATTCTCCGGGTACAGGAAGGACAAGAAGAAGAAGGCCGACGACAAGTCCTGCCCCAGCACCCCCTCCAGCGGGGCCACAGTGGACTCCGGCAAGCACAGGGCACTGCCCATCGTGAGGGCAGGTGTGTGGGTGTCGGGCCTGCCTGCGGGCAGAGTGGGAGGGGTGCACGTGGGCTTGGGTCATTGGGGCTCTCAGGATTCATGCTTACGCACTGCCCCCCAAGGCTTCTTCGGGAGCCATGCTGACCTAGAGAAGGGACCGAACCATGGGTTCACAGGGCGTAGCCTGCTTAGTAACAGAATTCTCAAAGCCAGCTTGAAACCGGATCATGAAGAGTGGAGGTTTGTGCCCTTCTAAAGTCACACGACCCCAGTCCACGTGTGCACAGGGCAGAGGGTGGTGCTGCCGGGAGGTGCTGGGCAGGCCGCGGTCCGCCCACTTGGTGTCAGCTCTGCCCTGCCCAGGCAAATGTTGATGTCAGCTCCTGGCTCCCCGGGATGGGGGAAGGATCCATTAAACTAAAATGAGTCCAGCCTCCCTCCTGACCTCCCCGTCTGCACGTGGGAGCAGGAGACAGCTGCCCCGGCAGGCTGGCGCCATCCTCATGCAGCCTCCTCTCCCTACAGAGCTGCAGCTCCGGCGCCAGCTGAGCTTCTCCGAGGACTCGGACCTCTCCAGCGACGATGTCCTTGACAGGTCCTCGCAGAAGTCCCGGCGAGAGGTGCGTAGTCAGGCAGAGGGGCTTCACAGAGCCCAGGGCCCTGGCTGTTCCCTGTTGGGTTTGATGGGGGGGGGGGAAGGAAACCTGAAGTAAGGGACGGATGGCAAGTGACACACAGCCAGCTGACTGCTGACCAGCCCTACGCACGGAGGGGGTCACGCCAGGGTTTTTACTTGGGAGCTGTGGCACAGCAAGGGTTCCTGGTTTCTGCTCTTGTGAAGAAGAAACTGGAGCCATTCCTGCGTCACGCTCCCCTTCCCTGGAGGAGGCAGCCCGGCGTTGTCTGTTTCTTCATAAGCGATCTGGTGAGGGGCAGCCCGCCAGCCCCAAGGCCTCTGTGGAGAGCGCTGCCCTGTCCAGGGCTACAGGCGGGAGCTGGGACCTCTGGCACTGAGCATTGTGCCTGGTCCTGCCCACGTAGTGGGTTTGTTAGTTAGGGAGGATTTGTCGTCTTAGAGGACTGGTCCAGGAATGGACCTGCAGGGCTGCTGGGTCTGACTCGGCCCCTCGCTGTACAGAGCCCAGGACTCTGGGTGGATCCAGTGAAGGTGGAGGGGAGAGGACTCGGCACACTCTAACAGGCACCTGTCAGCATGCAGGGCAGGTGGAACTCTGCAGAGCACCACCCACCTCTGCTGTCCAGCCTGGGCTCTGCTCCTCCCCCTAGCTGGGGGTGGCCTGGCTGTCTCTGCTTCCTGCCTCCGTTTTGCATGAAAAGCTTCCCCAGAGTGTAGCGTGCCTTCGTTGCAAGGCTTCTGGGGCTTGGACTTGAGTCTCCCCTCTCCTGCCCCCCAGTAGCCCAGTCAGGGTGGGCCATGGTGAGCCTGGGCCCCTCATCCTGTTGGGTGAGGTGGCTTCTGCAGCTGATCCCTGCCTCTGTAAATACCTCAGCAAAGCGGACGCTTCGTTCCGTGCCCTCCTCGGTGCATTCATCTCCCTTGGCCTTGCCAGCTCTTCAGCCACTCTCCTAGAAGGCTCTAGAGGGCCAGGCCTCTCCTCTGCTCCACCCTCTGCAGAGCCAGGCTTCCTTGTGCCCCAGCCAGGCCAGCACTGAGTTAGGGTTGAGGTCTGTGCCTTCTCCTCGAGGACCGAAAGAATGTGCTCTGTCAAGGCTCCCTGTCCAGCTTTCCCAGGCAGGAGCATTGGCACTGAGCTCAGAATTGCCCTGGGTTTCTATGTGGGCCCCTAAACACGTCCCAGCATGGGCTGGGTGCTGCCTTAGGGGGTCAGCAAGGAATGGAGAGAGTGGTCCCAGGCTCCCTGCCTCAGTGTGACAGTGGGGACCTTCCATCTGCTGGGTCAGGTTGGCCACCTACCTCCCTCACGTTGCTGTGGTGGGCAGTGTGTCCACTGCTTCTTCATAGATGAAGCGCCCGCTAAGGTGCTGGGCAGCAGCTGCCTGGACTGGCTTTGCCAAGGCTGGTACTTGGGGAGCCTCCCCAGGGCCCAGCAGGTATGAGGAGGAAGGGCAGAGCAGGAACAGGACCACAGGAAAAAGCCATGGACACCAGTCATGGAACCCTAGAGCCAGAGGGGGCCTCTGAGGCCTCCCCCTCCAGGGGCACCCACAGAGGCGAAGCCATGTGCTGGAGGGCACATAGGGAATACTAAAGCCAAAGCCAAGCCTGGAGGACAGACAGGCTGGGGGACGGCCAACCTAGGGGACGGCTGAGGACCAGGAGACGGCCGAGCTAGGGGATGGAC